GCATCCACTGTCAAAGTACCAGTCTTCCTTGGCAGAAACTCTAAGGGAGGTGTGAGCTATCAGGGCTGCAGTCTTTTTCTTCCACTGTTGAGTATATGGTTCCTTGTTAGTCTTAGGTTTGACATATGGGGTCTGATTAGGATATCCATATAATCTGAAGCAGAATGGTTTTATGTGACCAAACCTCCCACAATAATGACATCCCCATCTTTGATACTATTTCTTCATATTTCTCTGTTCTTGATGTTGAGTCCTATGTTGTGACATCTGCTTTGACATTTGTTTATCAGGCCTGGTCTTCTTCTTGTCAACAGCAGATTTCTTTGCAGCCACAAATCCTAGACCAGACATGTTTCCTGCATTTTGTCCAGCCTGAAGGATTTCTTCCAACTTGTCAGTTCCAGTTGTTAACATCTTGACAGACTTAGTCATCTGATCAAGTTTGGAGTTCAACATTAGAACTTCACCTTTGAGATGGCTTATAGTAGCAGTGTCTGCCTTCTTCTCAGCCTCCAACTTCACTATGAGCTTTTTCTGTTTCTCATTTTGATGACAAACTTCAACACTTTTGATACATAGCTTCTTGTAGGAGTCAACAAGTTCTTCAAATGTCACTTCCTCATCACTAGAATCATTATCAGAGTTACAAACACCAGATAGTGCAGTAACTAGTTTAGCAGATTCTTTTTCAGAGTCACTTTCTGAGTCACCATCAGACCAAGTAACAGACATTCCTTTCTTTTGTTTCTTTAGAAAGGTAGGACATTCAGCTCGAATGTGCCCATATACTTCACATCCATGGCATTGGATTCCTCTGCTTTAATTTCCCTTTTCTTCAGACTTAGTTCTTCTGCTGGAGTCATAGGATCTGCTAATGTCAGAGGAAATGTTCTTGACATTTGACCTTGACTTTGGGTCCATTCTCTTGATGAGTTTGTTGAACTGCCTTCCAAGCATAGCTATAGCTTCTGATATATTCTCTTCATCACTCTCCTTGCTTTCATCTTCAGTATTGGATACAAGGGCTATGCTCTTGTTTTTCTTGTCAACATTGTCACTGATCCCCATCTCAAATGTCTGAAGTGACCCAATGAGTTCATCAACCTTCAAGTTGCAGATATCCTGAGCTTCCTCTATAGAAGTCACTTTCATTGCAAACCTTTTAGGCAAGGATCTGAGAATCTTTCTCACCAGCTTTTCTTCTGACATCTTTTCTCCCAATGCTCCGGAGGTGTTGGCAATTTCCAAGATGTTCATGTGAAACTCATGAATGGTCTCATCTTCCTTCATCCTTAGATTCTCAAATTTGGTAGTGAGCATCTGAAGTCTTGACATTTTTACTTTGGATGTATCCTCATGGGTGGTTTTGAGAGTGTCCCAAACATCCTTGGCCAGTTCACATTGATGTACTAGTCTGAATATGTTTCTATCAATTCCATTGAACAAGGCATTCAATGCTTTAGAGTTACCCAGGGCTAACTCTTCTTCTTCTTTGCTCCATTCTTCCTCAGGTTTCAGACTAGTCGTCCCATCTTTCCCAGTTATGGTGGGATGGTTCCATCCTTTGTCAGCAGCTCTCCAAGCTTTATTGTCCAATGACTTCAAGAAGGCAATCATACGAGGTTTCTAGTAGTCATAGTTTGATCCATCCAGAATAGGTGGTCTGTTCCCAAATCCTCCTTCCTTGTCCATAGCGCCAGAAAATAATATCCCTAGATCTCACCCAGAAAGACAGGTAGGGTGCCTGCTCTGATGCCAATTGAAATTCTGGCAACAAATACTTAATGTCACAGTGAATGTTATGACACCGTATCTGACAAATTGTACATAAACCAAACAGTAATTTAAAAGACAGTAAAGAACACAATCAATTGTTAACCCAGTTCAGTGTATAACAACACCTACATCTGGGGGCTACCAAGCCAGGGAGGAAATTCACTATAAGAGGTATTAATTTAGGAATAAACCAACCAGTTTATCTCCTTCACTTAAGACCTACACAATGCAACTTCAATCTAAGTCCTACTTAAACCTGAGTTCCTACTCACTCCCCCTCAATCACAGTAGTGATACTAATCTACTGATTAATAAGATTATGAAGACATTCTTCAATACACACGCTTGATTTTGCTTCAAAGCTTTAATCAAGAGACACAATACTCGTGCTTCAAAGCTTTGAGTGATAAACAAACCTTACAACCAAATCCTACTCCAAGTCACTTATCAAGTGATAATTGCTTGGCTCACAGTAATTACTAAAACTATCACAACTACAAAATGCCTTATTGATCTTCTCTAAAAAGCGCTGCACACCATTAAGATTCGTGAGAAATATATATATGCAGTCTATTCTTCATTTTGGGCTTCCATAAAAATAGCTAGGGTTAACCAAAGTTAACCTAAAGACTTGGTCTTGGGCTTTCATCATAACAGATTAGGGTTAAGCAAGGTTAACCTAATATCCACGTGAGCATTTGATCTAGTCAATATACTTCAACTCAGAATAGCACACCAGATTCCTGAAAATTCTCAGGAACAATAAATCTGCACAACAATTTGATCAGTACAGGATGTCTTAACATTGGTTATGACATCATGTATCCTGCTCACTGATTTTGGTAGAATTCAGTACATATGATCATAGCTTAATCATCATGATATTCACTCATATTGAGTTGTTCCTGTAGAGCATTCCTTCTGCAGAATTTGTCTTTATCCCAGAATGTTATGATATCAGTCATGACATTCGCAAATCTGGTTTTACCAAAAATTAATACCAACAAGCAAACACTTACAAATATCATTGGGACTAATAAAGAAATCAAAGAAGCAAGAAATTATTTGAAGAAATAATTTGAAATGAAAGATCCGAGAAAAACTAGATTCTGCCTTGGTTTACATATTGAGTATACTAAAAATGGTATATTGGTACATCAATCAAATTATACAGAAAGGGTGTTGAAAAGGTTCAACATGGACAAGGCAAACCCTTTGAGTAGTTCAATGATGGGTAGGATACTTAATATTGAAAAAGATCCTTTTAGGTCTAAGGAAAGTAATGAAGAGGATCTTGGCCCAAAAGTGTCATACCTTAGTGTCATTGGGGCACTCATGTACTTTGCCAACTATACAAGACCTGGTATATCTTTTGCAGTAAATTTACTAACAAGATTCAGTACATGTCCTACAAAGAGACATTGGAAAGGAATAAAATAAATATTTTGATATCTCAGTGGTACATTTAATCTTGGTTTGTTTTATTCTAACAATACAAAATCAGTTTTGCTTAGTTATGCAGATGTAGGATATTTGTCAGATCCACATAATGCTAAATTACATACTGGATATGTGTTCACATATGGCGGCACTGTAATATCATGGAAATCTCAAAAGCAAACACTTATAGAAACTTCTTCAAATCATGCTGAAGTAATTGCCCTTCGTGAAGCAAGCAAAGAGCGTAGATGGTTAAGATCAGTAACTCAACATATCCAAGGAGCATCTGATTTAACAATAGATAAAAATTCAACAATTTTATATAAAGACAATGCTACATGTGTTACCCAGATGAAAGAAGGTTACATCAAAATTGATAGAACCAAGCACATCCCTCCAAAGTTCTTCTCATTCGCGCAAGAACTTGAAAGAAATAAAGAGATTAATATTCAATTCATTCGTTCGAGTGATAATATGACAGGTTTCTTCACAAAGGTACTTCCCACACCAGTTTTCAAGAAGCACTTACAAAATATTGGAATGCGACACATTTGAGGTCTTTGAAAAAGAACTAATGTGTCCTATTGAGGGGAGCATAATATTGTACTCTTTTTTCCCTTATTAAAGTTTTTATCCCAATGAATTTTTCCTAATAAGATTTTTAACGAGGCAACAGATGTTTCCATAACTATCCTCAATAAGGCTTCAGAGCACAATGACAAATGTTTCAAAATGGAGAATGTTATAATAATAAGAAATTATTATAATTACTATTTGAAATGTATAGGAATATTGAAAATCTTCTATTTACAAAATGTCAACTAAGCAGAGTAATTTAAACTATAACATTTATAATCTATATATATATATATATATATATATATATATATATATATATATATATATATATATATATATATATATATATATATATATATATATCACGCATTAGATTCATGTAAATTCACACCGAAAAATTTCAAAAATAAATAATACATTTTATTTTATCTCTATATTTTTTTAGTTTGTTTCAAATATTCGTCTTATCTCAACGGATATTACACATTTCAAAATTCTATTTTTAGTAATGTCAAGAAGATGTTTGGCCAACTACACTACTCCCACACATAACATGCGTAATTTAGTATGGTTTGTTCAAATTTAGAGTGAACTAAATTAATATGGTACAGAATTAAATATCATTGAATGTATTGTAATGTCATTTGTAAAAATCCTAAATATTTAAGTTTAATTTTCAAAATCAAATTGAACCAAACGATATATATATATATTTATTTTTATATTTTTTATATTAATATAATATATTATTTATTAATTTAATTTAATTTGTTTGTTTATCAAACTAACTCAAAAATTGCCTCTTAAAAACGTTAAACTAGATAGTTTAATTGTTTTTATTTAATTAAAAACCTTTGTTTTAAAATATTTTTTAAATATTAGAAAGAAAATACTTGTTATGATAATTTTATTTAGTGAAAAAATTTATCAAATTGTATTGGACAGAAATTTTTTACTTCTGCATACTTTTTTCTTCATCAAATTTTATTTTATCGGGTGTTTTTATAAAATTTTCAACAAGATTTAAAATACTATATAGATTTGAATAAACCACGTCCATATGCTAACCGTGGACTTAAAACTAAGACTATAGAACTCTAACAATACAAGGACCATATTCATTTTACATCCATACCTTCTCTTTCTTACATAATAGTTTCAAGTTTCTCATGTATGCACAAAAACAAGATTGATTGAACTCAAACATGAACAAGGACAATGAAACATATCTCAAACTTTTTCAACGAGGTTCTTCTAATAATCATCTCAAGAGTAGTTTGATCTCCAAAAAAGCTAAAGTTACCACCACTGTAGTTGCTCTCTTTTGCTTAGTAGTAACTTTTTGTTACTATTTTGCAGCCTCCAATAATGTGAGTTTTCATCTGTATTTTAATTTTTTTTAGTATTTTTAGTCATGTATTTCTGATGTCTCTGCACTGCTATTAATTGAATTGGTTTAACGAGATTTTTTATGAATTTTTTTTTAGAAGAAACTAATGTTAAATTTATTTATAAAAAAGAAGATAATTTCAGATGATTATTTCGTTCGAAATCAAAACCCTTCATCAATCCAAACAAACAAACACGAAAAACAAGAATATCCACTTACATGCACCAAAGGAAACAAAACTGAGACACAAACATGTCCAAGAGACCAGTTTCCTACAAAACACAACCCAACAAGTCTATATAGCCATGTTTGTCCCTCATACTTTAGATGGATCCATGAAGATCTAAAGCCATGGAAAGAGAAAGGAATCACAAAGGAAATGGTGGAAGAAGCAAGAAGAACAGCACACTTTAAGATTGTGATTGCGGATGGAAAGTTGTATGTGGAGAAGTATAGGAAGTCAATTCAAACAAGAGATGTGTTCAGTTTGTGGGGTATTTTGCAACTATTAAGATTGTATCCTGGGAAGTTGCCGGATTTGGAACTCTTGTTTGATTGTGATGATAGGCCTGTTGTTCCTTCGGATAAGTTTCATGGCGCAAATGCTTCACCACCACCTTTGTTTAGATATTGTTCTAATCAATGGAGTTTGGATATTGTGTTCCCTGATTGGTCCTTTTGGGGATGGTAAATTCTAAACTAACTTCACTTCTTTCTTTATTATGTTTATGAAATGGAATTTGAACTAATTTATATACAGGGCTGAGATAAACATAAAGCCATGGAAAGATACTTTGAAAGATATAAAAGAAGGGAACAAAAGGACTAAGTGGAAGGATAGAGTACCTTATGCTTATTGGAAGGGGAACCCTTATGTTGCTCAAACTAGGAAGAATCTTTTGAAATGCAATGTTACATCCCAAAATGATTGGAACACTCGTCTATACATACAAGTATTAATTCATTGTATATATATGTTTGTGTGTCATGTTTTTTGTGCAAATCATATGAAAGCAAGATTAATTCATTGTATATATATGTTTGTGTCATAGGACTGGGTAAAAGAATCCAATGAAGGTTACAAAAAATCCGGCTTAGGGAACCAATGCACCTATAGGTTCAGTTATTTTAACTTCAGTTCAGTTTGATTCGGTTCGCCGATGTTTTTTGAACCGTCCTAGTCTTAACACATGAATGTTGTGTGATCGTTTGTTTGTCACAGGTACAAGATATACATCCAAGGATATGCTTGGTCTGTTAGTGAGAAATACATTTTGGCATGTAATTCCATGACATTATATGTAAAATCCGAGTACCATGATTTTTTCATGAGAGGCATGGTTCCATTGCAACACTATTGGCCCATTAGAGACAATTCAAAATGCACCTCTCTTAAGTATGCTGTAGAATGGGGCAACAATCATACTGATAAGGTATTTGAATTTACTAACAATGCAATATAGGTTATATTTTATTATTTTGACACACATTCACATAATAAAATACCATGAGAAAGTCGCAGAAGCCGATATTATTAGGTTTGACGTTATCACCAGAGTTCAAACTCTGATATCCACTCTAATAGTTATTTACCATTTTACATTTTCTTAAATTGAACTATCAGGCACAAGCAATAGGAGAGGCTGCTAGCAGATTCATACAAGAGGACTTAAACATGAACAATGTATATGATTACATCTTTAATCTTCTCAATGAATATGCAAAACTTTTAAGGTTCAAACCAAGTATACCTCAAGGAGCTGTGGAATTTTGTTCTGAAACAATGGCATGTGATTTAAATGGTATAGAAAGGAAGTTCATGGAGGAATCAATGGTTATGTTTCCTAGTGATTCAAATCCATGCACTATTCCTCCACCATATGATCCTTTAACTTTACAAGAAGTTTTAGAGAGAAATGTTAATTCAACAAGACAGGTGGAAATTTGGGAAGATGAATATTGGTTGAATAAGAATAATGGACAATAGTTTTGGCTTAATTTTTTGAATAATTTTGTCTTTGTTTTTTTAGTTTATGTATTTATCTTATAGTCCCTGAAATCTACAAAATTACATGTTTTTAGTCCTTATTTAAAGATTGAAAAATCATGAAGTTTGTAGCTGTTGAAAATTGAATACATATATTTAAAACAAAACTTGAGATAATTAGATATTTAACTATGCTTTTTGGTTTAAATTGCCCATAGGCCATGTTGTATTAATACATGTCCCTGCATCGTTTTCAGAATCACCCCTACATTACAATTATAATTGGGAAAAGGAAACATTGTTGCTATTTTATTTTATACATTCATTCATATTTACCAACAATTCAAAATTATAAGATTAAAATGTTTAAAGTTCTTGAAAAAGCATTTTGATATGCGTAGTTTAGAGATGATTCTTTAGTAATTTAAGAAAAATATATATAAATTATAATTAAGAAACATTTAAAATTATACTTTTTCTTCTTTTTTATCTTTTGGATAAAACTTTTTAGTGGTTAAACTATTAAGAAGCTTGTTTGATCTATTAGAAAAGTAAAATACTTTGGTTAATCAATTGGACATTCATTTTAATCGATTAAAATAAAGTGAAACACATTCTAATCAATTAAGGAGACTTGTAATCGATTAAATATGTTGAAATTCAAAAATTTCTTTTTTTTTTAGATGAAGCTAATCGATTAAGAAATTTTTTAATCGATTAAAAGGTTAAAAATTCTATTGATTGTTGTCTTTTTGAGCCTAAAACTTTCCTATATGACGGAGGGTTCTCATCATTGTAAAATACTCTAGATTTCTGAATAAAACTTCTCTCATATCTTTATACTACTCGTTCTTTTATAAAAAAATCATTAGAGTTTTCTTATGTTGACCAAGTGATATTCGCATTTCTGAAAAATTGGTTTAATTTAAAATTATGGGTTAAATATACTTTACCCCCTTACAATAGTAGCGAGTTTTGATTTATCCTCCTATTAAAAAAATTCTTTCTGCCCCTTAACAAATATAGATTCCCAAACAGAAAACCATGTACCCCAAGATTCCCTATGAGTTTCATACGTGGCATTAGATTCTTTGCTGACTGTGTTATTAAAAGTCATGCTGGAATGTTTGTGTCTATTACAAATATTTAGTCTTCTGATTAACCCCCTGGAAAATCTAGGGTTCAATATCAAACAAAATTAGCAAGCTCACCATGGGGAAGAAATTGGCAGCGAAGAAGAAGAAGCACTCCAAGAAGGGGAAACATTCAAGCCAACTAAAGAAGCACGAGGAATGAGGCGCTTCTGTTGATGCTGATAAGGTATGTTCTTTCAGTTGTTTGTTCGTTTAGTGCTACATATAGTGAAATCTTAGTTTTTGAATGTTTGCCCAAATGTTTTTAGAATAAGCATATGTTCATTGATGTGCTCCATCATGGTGGTGAGTTTGCAATGTTGAACAATGAGGTTACGATTTACAGAGAGGGTGTAAGTACTTTAGTGTCAGATTTCCACTTGGATCAGTTTACAATGCTTAGCATCCATGGGTTGGTTACCGGTTGGGGTTACAAGCAGGGAACTTATAGAACATGGACTTTAATTCATGAAATAGATGAAAATTATTTCCAGATTAAGAAGGATGATGACTGTTATGATTTTGCTGCATACGCGTGTGCGATCCAACTAGACGGGGAAATTTTCGTGGAGCATGATGTTACTCATATTGGAGCCTTAGTAAGTAGTCCATGGCGTGTCAATGAGAATGTTAAGATGGAGGGATGTGATGATGATTTAGTAGAAGGGTTGGGTGATAGTGAGGATGAACAGGCCACTGCTATTCTAGATGGTTTTGAAGGGACTGATGTGACTAAACCCATCAATGAGAGCCCTTCAGTTGCTGAATTTATGAGTGGGTCCAAACAGAAAAGTTGTGAGGATGAAGAGTATGTGAGTGATGAGCTGGATAGCTCTGACCCGAATTTATCTGATAGTGATAAAGGGAAAGTGCCAAATTTTGAAAAGTTTAGGAAAGAGCATTTAAATAAGGATTTTAAATTTCAGTGGGGTATGCAATTCAACTCCCTATATGATTTTAGATATGCCATTCGTGAGTGGTCAGTATTAAATGGGAGGCAAATTACGTTTGTGAAAAATGAAAGTGACATAGTATGGGTAGTATGCAGGGCCAATTGTAGGTTTTTAATGTTGTGCTCCAAAGTGGGCCATAAGCTCACTTATGCTATAAAAACCATAGTTGACAAACACATATGTGCTAGGGTTTTAGACAACAAATCTGCAAGTTCTAGGTGGGTGGCTAAGGCAGTGTTGAAGAAAATGCAAACCTCTGATAATGTCAAGATTTGCGATATAATTCAAGACTTGAGGCAAAATTATTTTGTGGGCATCACGGTGGCTAGGGCATGGAAGGCGAAACTCATAGCCAAGAAGAAGCTTGAAGGAGATGCAGACAAACAATATGCAAATTTAAGGAGATATGCCGCAGAATTACATAGAGTGAATCATGGGAACAATTTGAGTATCAGTTTAGAAAGACCAAGTCCATCTATGCAGCCAAGGTTTGGTTCCTTTTATTTTTTCTTTGATGGTTGTAAAAAGGGTTTCATTAATGGTTGTAGATCCTTTGTTGGGATGGATGACTGTCATCTAAAAACAAAGTATGTGGTCAGTTATTAATTATTGTGGGTAGGGACCCAAATGATCAGTATTTTCCTTTGGCCTTTGGGGTGGTTGAGACTGAAACTAAAGAAAGTTGGAGGTGGTTTCTTGATTTACTGATGAAAGATGTAGGCTAGGACAAGAGATTCATGTTTATATATGATCAACAAAAGGTATACATTTTTTGTCAATAAGTTACATGTTATGTAGGTTTTACTTTGCACTGATGTTATGCAGATTTTACTTTGCACTGATGTTATGCAGATTTTACTTTGGACTGATATTATGCAATGTTTCAGGGCTTGGTAGATGTGTTTGAGGATATGTCTCAGAGGATAGAGCATAGGCTGTGTTTAAGGCATCTTTATGAAAATTTTAAGAAAAGGTTTGGAGGTGGAGCTTTGATTAGAGATCTAATAATGGGGGTTGCAATGTCTACATACTATCAGGGATGGTTACAAAAGATGAATGAGCTGAAGCTGGAAGATCATAATACTTGGACTTGGTTGATGGGTGTTCCTCCAAAGGTTTGGTGTAAGCATTCTTTCAGTTTCTACCCTAAGTGTGATGTTCTTATGAATAATATTTCTGAGTCCTTTAATGTCACCATATTAAGTGTTAGGGATAAACCAATTTTAATAATGTGTGAGTGGATTAGGAAGTATTTAATGAACAAATGCTCTACTTCTGTCATGAAGCTTAAAAATGGCCTCATAAGGTTATGCCAATTCCTAGAAAAATACTTGATAATGAGGTTACGTTTAGTGGTAAATGGCTGCCTACTTGGGCAATGGATGAAAATTTTCAAGTCACTCATTCCGATAACAATCAGGAATTTATAGTTGACATATCTAAGAGATCATGTACTTGTAATTTCTAGGATTTAGTTGGTATTCCTTGTAGGCATGCTATTGTTGCTTTAGGATTTAGGCAACAAAATATAGAGGATTTTGTTGATCAATGTTATTATAGATACAAGTATGCAATATGCTATAGTTTTGCAGTGAGTCTAATTAATGGTGAGGAAATGTGGCCAGAAGTTCATTCAGATGAGATTTTACTCCCTATGTACAAGAAAGGTCCAGGCAGACCAAGAAAGTTAAGGATAAGGGAGTGTGGTGAAGAGGGTGCTAGAAGGAGAAGATTGCCAGGTGTATCTTACAGATGCACTAAGTGTGACAAATTTGGTCACAATGCTCAAACATGTATAAGCACAACACAAGATGCTAATGGACTAAAGATAAAGGTATTATTAGTGTGTATTTTGAAATGACATATCATGTATTTTGAACTAATGTATCATGTATTTTGAACTAACAAGTAATGTGTTTAATTTTTGTAGAGGAAGGTCAAGGTAGGTACCACTAAAACTGAAAATGAAACTGCAGCAACCACTGGTGGAACTTAGACTGCAACACCTTATGCTGCAACTGAAACTGTAACATAAGCTGGTGGAAATCAAACTGCAGTACCCCATGCTGCAACTCAGATTGCAGTACCCCATGTTGCAACTCAAACTGCATTCAATGAACCAGTTGACTATTTTGGCGACATAACTGATGATTTCATTTCAAGCATTCCTGAAGTAAACACGACACAATGTTTTGCTGTGGTTGGTAAACCAGACAACAAAGGCAAGAAAAAATTGAAAGTGAAAGATGTCAGGCCAGTGAGAAAGAGGTCCAGTGAAAGAATAAAACTCTAGTGGTTTCAAAAACCAATCAAAGGGCCAGGTTCAAACCCCGAGCAACCTATGTATTTGACAGAAGAAGAAGTAAGTGGTTCTAAATGTGCAATGAAGAATCTAAGAAGAAGTTGTCTTATGTTTGTACTGTCTATTATTCCCTTTTGAAACTTTGGTATTAAGTTATGGTTTGTGTCCTTATGGTTTGTTAGGCCGTTATGCCCTTTTGTAATGACATTGACATTTTGTGTCCTTATGGTTTGTTAGGTTGTTATGCCCTTTTGTAATGACATTGGCATTTTGTTCTACTTATGCCTTCGTGTAATGAATCCTTTAATATTGCTTTCAATTGATAACCTTATTTTCTGATCTCAAATGGTAATGCAATACTGTAAGAAAAATAAAACACTCTTATTGTATCAAATTTGACATTAAACGACCATTATATTGCTTCTGTTTAACAACACTGCAAAGATACACTTGAAATTAACAGACAAACATAAGTTTGGGCCATTATATTACAAACAAACATAACACTTCACTTGTGCAAAAAATTACAAATAGACAATACACTTGATATTACATATAATTGTACAACACTGCAAAGATAAACCAAGACATCATAATTGCCACATTCAGTTG